CCCCAAAACCCCAAAACCCCAAAACCCCAAAACCCCAAAACCCCAAAACCCCTAAATACTAGGATTGGTTGAGATATTTGAAATAACCATCAGATCACAACTGGTGGTTTCACGAGTTTGCATCCACTCGTCTCTAATTTCTGTATCCGAAATAGCTCATGACTGAAGTCAACATCGACACTGAGCTTTCCTGGTTGTTGGCAGGCTCGTCTGCTTGCTCTGAAGCATCAGCCGCAGGCTCTTCAGATACCGATTGGTTGGACTCAGACTCATCATGACACTTGGATTCTTCAATAGGAGCATTTTGATGTCTTTCAGACAGCGGTTGCTTGCAGCCTAATTTTTGATTCTCTATTTAAGTTTAGTTTGGAATAAATTATCAACTTACCTTCTTTGAACTCTTCGGAGTTGCCTTGCAAACTTTGGCTTTCTAGAGTATTCTTGAGATTTCGACCAACACGAAAAGAGTCTCAATTACTTACTCTGATTTGTATTTCTTGGAATGGTGAGATCGGATGATGACATGTTCAAACTTATCATAGAACTCTCGTTGAGTCCTCTATTCAAAGAGCATATCCCTTGACCCAGCCCCTGGAGTTCTACACAGATGAGTCTGAAAATACCTTTGATCTTGGCTTCGATGTCTTCAAACCTCTGTTCGCTCTTGTGCTCAAGTTTGTTCAAGAGCTTCTTGAATTCTTCGTCTCTCTCGGATTCCCCTATTTAATCAGTCATGAACAAATGCAGTTGAATGCAAATGAAAATGTGGAAATTAACTAGCTAAGTTGAAATTGACAATAGTACAAATTCTCATGAGCCTAATAGCTATCTGGTGCATGCACATATGAACTGAGCCAGGAGCAGTCAAGATGGAATCAGGTAATTCACTGTTTAAAGTGAGTCCATGAGTCAAGACCATCCTACCTCAGAGATATCTTTGTGAACATGCTTCCATTATTCCATGCTCGATTTTGTCGAGGAATCGAAGCCACATGGATTTAGGGTCTCATCAGGTTATGCTACTTTTCATAATAATTTAAAATGAAATGTTTATTAAATAGGACAGGTCGGAACTCCACAAAATCTGACCTGTTTCTTAATATCTAATCCAGAGACATGGTCTAGTCAAGAGCATAACTCTGAAGTAATAAGTTTCTCTCAGCACAGGCGTAATATAAACTGATCTCTAAGTAGACAAAGCCAAGATTTGTTCCAAAATGTGTGACTAAGCGTAGACCGGATATGGGGAATAATAGCCACCGATTCATCAGAAGAAAGAGACAAACGCTTACTTTCGATACTGTGCTGAATGCGTTGGTCCAATTTCAAGAAGATCTCGAACATTTTATCTTGCCTTTTGCCGTCTTCCTGCCTTTGCTTTTCTTCGTGCTCATCCCTGTCTTTGAAATCTAGGCAAGGTGAACATTTGGTTGAATGGACAAGAATCCTTACATTTAGCAATCGCTCCGAGACTTGTCTCCAACAACTCAAACCTTTTTTGGTTCTCCTCTTGCTCCTTGATTCTGCTGGCCATGATTTCGTTTTGCTGAGTCTCAAGTTTTCTCTTGTCCTCTTGGTCTTGCTCCATTTGCATGGAGATCTGCTTCATTTGGACCTCCAACGTTTTGTTCAAATTTTGGGCTGAGTCGCTTTGAAATGCCACAGAGTCTCTGTATTTTTCTATAAATTCAGTTATGATTTGCTAATTTATAGCAAATCTTGCCAAATTCAGAATAAAATTTGGGTAAATCTATAAAAAATTTTAAATAGTCAATTCTCAGTTGAAGTAAACTCCGGAGGTTAAGGCAATGCAAGCTTAGCAAGAAGAGTACCTAAGAATTGGGGAGATGACTGCTCAGCTCCATTAACTTCAGATAAATTTTGGTCAAAACCAGTCTCATTCATATCCTTGGTTTCTTCATCCATAAATGTAAGATCTTCTGTATCAACAATGGAAGTCTTCATAGCTCTATAATATTGCCTCGGATTCCTTCCATGCATTCTGGATGTTTTTGTGGTTTCGGTCATACCAGCTTTCTTGCGGCCTCTGGGACCTCTGGAGTTTGGCAGAGCTGAAGCATCATCTGCTCCACTTCTTCAGGGGTTTCTGATACAAGAGACACAGCTCATAGGCTTTAAATTATTTATATCCAATCGTCCTCAAGCCCAATGGGGTTTTGGGGTTTTGGGGTTTTGGGGTTTTGGGG